CTGCAACCTCCACTTCCTGGGTTTAAGCAATTCTCCTGTCTCAGCCTCCTGAGTAGCTGAGATTACAGGCGTGCGCCACCATGCCCAGCTAATTTTTGTCTTTTTTAGTAGACACTGGGTTTCACCATGTTGGTCAGGCTGGTCTCGAACTCTTGACCTCAGATGATCTGCCTGCCTCTGCCTCCCAAAGTGCTGAAATTATAGACATGAGCCGTCACACCTGGCCTGGCATTTTGACCTAAGATCTTGTAGTGGTAAAAATAACAATAGCTTTTTATTAAGTATACCTTTTTCTTTCTAGATTAAGAAAATAAACCTGAGATGTTAAATAATTTTCCAAAGATGACTTAGGTAGATATTGACAGAGCTCTTTCTGAAAATCTAGAAAATCAAACATCATGTCCCAGGACTTCTAGGGAAACAGGGGGACTTCAGAAGCTAGTTGCATTTATTCCCATATTTACTTCACAGACCAGCTCTTGGATATTGGCTTCAAAAAATATAAAAACAATAAAAACAAATGTTTTTTGGAAAAAATATAAATCACCTAGAAGTGATCAGAGTGAAAACAAAAATCTGGAGAAAGTTAATATATGTCTAGTAGCGCTGTGCATTAGAACTCTCTGGGATGTGGGAAATGTTTTCTCTCTGTGCTATTCAATACAGTAACCACTAGCTAATTTAAATTTAAATGTAGCTAATAGCCACATGTGCCTTGGTAGTATCATACTGTGAACAGGGCAGCTGTAGAGAGTAAACCCACCCTACCTGAGAGTGAGGCCATCTCCTTAAACTAGCCCTACAGCTTCCTTTGAGTTCCACCTTGATTTTATGGGTATAGGCTAGAGATTTATTTTATTGATTTAATTTTATTTTTTGAGACAGGGTCTCACTTTGTCACCCAGGCTGGACTGCAGTGGCATGATCATGGCACACTGCAGTCTTGACCTGCTGGGCTCAAGCAATCCTCTTACTTTAGCTTCCTGAGTAGCTGAGACTACAGACATGTGCCACCATGCCTGGCTAATTAAAACAATTTTTTTTGTAAAGACGAGGTCTTACTATGTTGCCCAGATTGGTCTGAAACTCCTGGGCTCAGGCAGTCTTTCTGCCTTAGCCTCCTAGTGCAGGGATTACAGGTGTGAAACACCAGCCCAGCCAAGGCTAGAGCACTCAAGTTCAACTTAATAATATAAATAATTCAAGTTAATAAATACCTATTATGTGCGAAGTACTATCCAAGGTCCTATGAGGCGACAGGAAGGTGAAAAGGACCTGCAACTACCCTTAAAAAGCTCACAGAACCAAGTTATGGAATAAAAAAGCCCAGAGGTGATTCATCATGCTGGGACCAGAAGCTCCATAGACTGGAGCTTTTGCGCAGGCTCTTGAATTCCATTAGCCCAGCTTTCTAGAGGCTGATGAACAACTAATACTGGCTATAAGTTAAGAGAGGTTGGTAATACATTAAATAGAACAGAGGGGCAGTACAGCTTTAGTTCAAATCCTGGTTTTGCCATCTACTATTATCTTTTTTTTTTTTTTTTTTTGAGATGGAGTTTCGCTCTGTTGCGTAGGCTGGAGTGCAGTGGTGCAATCTCTGCTCTCTGTAAGAGTGAGCCTCCTGGGTTCAAGTGATTCTCTTGCCTCAGCCTCCTGAGTAGCTGGAATTATAGGCACACACCACTGTGCCTGGCTAATTTTTGTATTTTTAATAGAGATGGGGTTTCACCATGTTGGCCAGGCTGGTCTTGAACTCCTGACGTCAGGTGATCTGACTGCCCCGGCCTCCCAAATACAATTATCTTTGTGACCTTAGGAAATTTACTTAACCTCTCGAGTCTCAGTTTTCTCATCAGTAAAAAGTGGTCAATAACAATACCTAGGTCAGAAGATTAAATAGCAGATTAACTTTCTCGCTCATAGTATACATTGAAAAAAATGTAAGCATCCATTGTTGATGTTGTTATTAGTATATCAGCTACTACACCTAAAAAATAATGTCAAGGTAGAACCAGAACCAGATCTCCTGAATGGCTAAATGACAGAGCAGAGTGGCCACAGACAAACAGACCACTGTGTGGAGCTGGAATGCCATGGAGATGGAATACGACTGACTGGCATGTGCCCTCGGAGGTGGAGAGATCAGTACTGTCTTTCTAAAGACACAGATACTTAAGTGCTCCATATCCACTAAGTAGCAAGTTGAGGTTGACATTTTTGTTTCCATTTTTAAGATCCTTATGGTCATAAATTAATTTGGGCCTACAGGCAAATTGGAATTACAAAAAGAAGAAATGGAAAACAGAAGCCAGGGCCAGGGGTTCGATTTCTCAATGCATGGCGAGGGCTGAGCTGCTGATGTGGAAAAGGGGGGTAGCTTGAAGAGGATGGGCTGGTACACTGATGCTGTCTGCAAGGCTCCCTTATACATAGGGTCTCTACAGGCAGCTAGGCTGTTTCCCCTCCTGACTCCAGAGGGCCCCACTCACCATCACAATCAAAGAGCGCAAACACTACATCACACACGTGGTCTGAGAGCTCCACTTTAGCCACCGTCCTGGCCACCTGCTGCATGGTCACTGAAAAAAGAAAGGTGCATTAGCACAGCAGAGGGACTTTCGTTTTGCTTTCTCTGATTTGGGAGATAAAACAGTTCAGTCATAAAACAAGTTTTCAACTGAATTTAAGTCATGTTTAAGAAAATGATAATTTAGTTTTTATCCATAACCTCACTCCTTTTCACCTCAGGTTCTGTTCTTTTCTACTGCTTCTATACTTTAGGAGGTATATATAGTAAGAATGCCTCAGTTGGCCGGGTGTGGTGGCTCACGCCTGTAATCCCAGCACTTTGGGAGGCTGAGGCAAGTGGATTACCTGAGATCAGGAGTTCAAGACCAACCTGGCCAACATGGTGAAACCCCATCTCTACTAAAAATACAAAAAATTAGCCAGGCATGGTGGCAGGTGCCTGTAATCCCAGCTACTCAGGAGGCTGAGGTAGGAGAATCACCTGAATCCGGGAGGCAGAGGTTGCAGTGACCTGAGATTGCACCATTGCACTCCAGCCTAGGTGACAAGAGCACGACTTGATCNAAAAAAAAAAAAAAAAAAAAAAAAAAAAAAAAGAATGCCTAGGGCTGGCACGGTGGCTCACACCTGCAATCCCATCACTTTGGGAGACCTAGGTGGGTGGATTGCTTGAGCTCAGGAGTTCAAGACCAGCCTGGGCAACATGGCAAAACCCTGTCTGTATAAAAAATACAAAAAATTGGGAGGCAGAGGCGGGCGGATCACGAGGTCAAGAGATCAAGACCATCCTGGCCAACATAGTGAAACCCTGTCTCTACTAAAAGTACAAAAAATTAGCCGGGCGTGGTAGTACGCGCCTGTAGTCCCAGCTACTTGGGAGGCTGAGGCAGTGGAATTGCTTGAAACCAGAAAATGGAAGTTGCAGTGAGCTGGCATTGTGCCATTGCACTCCAGCCTGGCGATAGAGTGAGACTCTTAAAAAAAAAAAAAAATTAGCCCAGCATGGTGGCAGGCACCTGTAGTCCCAGCTACTCGGGAGGCTGAGGTGAGAGGATGGCTTAAGCCCAGGAGGCAGACGTTTCAATGAGTCAAGATGATGCCACTGCATTCCAGCCTGCTCAACAAAGTGAGACACTGTCTCAAAAAAAAAAGTGCCTGATATTCAGTTTATAGACAGAAAGTAGATTAGAGGTTACCATGGGCTGAGGAGAATGGGGAGTTAGTGCTTCATGTATACAGAATTTCTGTCTGGGGTGATGGAAAAATTTTGAAAATAGTGATGGTTGTATAACAGTGTGAAGGTAATTAATGTAATTAATTCCACTGACTTGTATATTTAAAAATGGTTACAATGGCACATTTTATGCCATATATATTTTTATATATGTACATACATGTTTATAGGAATATATAAAGGGGGTGGGAATAAGGAGGCTTGTCTGTGGTGTGAGTACACTAAGGCTTCATGTGCCTGGGTGACTGATTGACAGCTAACTGCCTGCACAGTGAGCGCTCCTTGCCCAGCTCTGTGCCTCCTCCCTACTGGTTTTGCACCAGTCTTCTTCCAACTGAGCCCACTGGGATATGCACTGGCCCTTGTCTTAATAGTTCAGGAAGCATAGCTTTCTTTCTTTCCTTCTTTTTTTTTTTAAGACAGTCACTCTGTCTACCAGGCTGGAGTGTAGTGGCACAATCTCAGCTCACTGCAACCTCTGCCTCCGGTGTTCAAGCAATTCTCCTGCCTCGGCCTCCTGAGTAACTGGGATTATTTTTTATTTTATTTTAGTAGAGACGGGGTTTTACCATGTTGGCCAGCCTGGTCTCAAACTCCTGACATCAGGTGATCCGCCACCTTGGCCTCCCAAAGTGCTGGGTTTACAGGTGTGAGCTACCACGCATGGCCAATAGTTCAGGATGCATATCTTTCTTTTAAAGTATATGTATTTTTAGACCTTAGCAAATCACTTTTCTCTTGCAGTTTTCTCTTTCCCTGACATTTACTGTTAAACACTAGCAATCATGTTAGAATTGGGTTCTCATGAAAGACAAGACAGGAAGGACTAGGCAATTTCCATTGCCTTCCCTCTCATTTATCCTCAAACCTGATCTAGCCACACCTATAAATCATGTTATTGCTTCTGGACATACTCTTAAGTGAGGTAAAATATAAGGGAAAGAAAAGGATTAATTTCCATTTATGCTGGTAATGAAGAGCTCTCTATAATCATCACAATAGATTCATCCAGAAGCCAAGTGAACTTAAACTAGAACCAGTGTGTCTTGTTTATTGCATTCTTATAATTTCAGTTCCTGTTAGCAGCCCATTTTGTCATTATTTTTAACATTTGATCTTTCACTTTGCCTCTATCACCTCCATATATTCACTTGATATGGTTTAGATTTGTGTCCCCACCCAAATCTCATGTCAAATTGTAATACCCAGTCCGGGCGTGGTGGCTCATGCCTGTAATCCCAGCACTTTGGGAGGCTGAGGCGGGTGGATCACCTGAGGTCAGAAGTTCGAGACCAGCCTGGCCGACATGGCGAAACCCCGTCTCTACTAAAATAAAATAAAAAAGAGTCCCAGTTACTCAGGAGGTGGAAGCAGGAGAATCGCTTGAACTTGGGAGGTGGAGGTTGCAGTGAGCCAAGATTGTGCCACTGCACTCCAGCCTGGGTGACAGAGCGAGACTCTGTCTCAAAAAACAAAAAACCAAAAAACAAAAACAAATTGTAATCCCCAATGTTGGAGGAGGGGCCTGGTGGGAGGTGACTGGATCATGGGGGCAGATTTCCCCCTTACAATTCTCAGGATAGTAAGCGAGTTCTCACGAGGTCTGGTTGTTTAAGTGTGTGGCACCTCCCCTCTCTCTGTCTTCTTCCTGCTCTGGCCATGAGATGTGCCTCCCTCCTCTTTCCCTTCCACCAGGATGGTAAGTTTCCTGAGGCCCCCTCAGCCCCGCTTCCTGTAAAGCCTGTGGAACTATGAGCCAATTAAGCCTCTTTTCTTTATAAATTACCCAGTCTCAGGTTGTTCTTTATAGCAATGCAAGAATGGACTAATATATCACCACAGTGCCCCCAACGTCAGCAGATACAGACACCAGAGCAATGCAGAGGAGCAAAGTGATGCGGCAGAAAACCACGCTTGGAGTAACAGGACCTGGGCTCCAGTTCTGGCTCCACCACCACCATGCTGTGTGACCTGGATGGAGTCCCTTGATCTCTTTAGATTTAATTTTCTTATGTTCAAGTGGAGGGATGCCACCAGGTAACTGCTGAGGCAGCTTACTAGCACAAAGAAGGGTTTATTGGTGTCTTCTAGAAGCTGAGTGTGGGGATAGGGTGGAAATACACAGAAATAGCAGAAGATTTTATGTGGCAGAGGGTAGAGGAAAGGTATATTGGTTGCAAGCCAGGCTATGCCTAGAGCCAGTTTCCTCTTCTGCTGCTTTGGGTTGCTGTTCATACCATCTTTCTCCCGGGATCTGAGTTAGGGTGAAGAAGAAATTAACATTCCTTGGTACTAAAAGACTGAAGTATAAGATACTGTGGTAGATATTCATGAGATGTGTGTTGGGAAATCTGCAAGAGTGTAGAGCTCTAGAGTTTAGAAATTTAGCCTAAAAAATCTAGATACTTGATTTGGTTCAGGAACTTTTCCTGCGAACTAACCTGCCCACAGAAGGAACAGAAATCAGGCCAATATGCAATGAGAATAGTAACTGTTAAGAGAACTACACTGATGACAGCTGGTCATTATACTTCTCAGTAGGAAAGCTACTAAGGAATCTCCATTCACCTCAGAAGATTAACTGCAAAAGATTACTCAGTGAAAAAAGAATGAGATCAGAAGGAACTGGAAGCGCTCAAACTGTGACTGCCTTCAGCTTTACTCTTCGCCGCCACAGAAATGTGTCCTGAGAAGGGGATCAGAACCTGTTCTGTATTAGATAAACACAAACGCTTTCTGTTAACCGCTCCTTTTTCTGCATTTCACATCAACCTCATGGTTCTCACTTCCTTTGCTCTTTCCCGTTCTTCCGTTCTCTCAGGGCACAGCCTTCTGCAATTGTCTTGGTATTTCAAGTACTCATCTTCTCCCCTGAAGATGGTGCCCTTTCCTGTAAATAAACCATTAACTAAATAATACTCAAGGATGTCAGTGAGAGCTCTTAACAATTTCTAGTGAGAGGCTCATTACAGTGGTATTAAGTGGTTGTAGAATAGGGACTTCTGGAGGCCTCCAGCAAGAATGTCTCATTACAGATGCCATCTCTTCACAGAAAGTTATAGATTATGTTCCACCTCACATGGAGAGGGCTCTGGTGTCCATCCTATGACAGGAGGAAGAACTAGGGCTGCTAAGTTATTGTAGTCCAAACCACTGGGATGTTAGCCAGCAAACTGTGTAGCTGGGGTCCCCTTTCATGGTACAAGATCCTCAGATAGGCCCCTGGGGTAAGAATCAGAGCAATGCAGGAAGCAAACATTTAACTAGCTGGTAAGCTGTCAAACTAGGAGCACCTGGGATGAGTGGGATGATGGCAGATTATAAACCAAGTGCTTGACAGCTTGTCTTGAGAGTTGGTTCATTCATATTTGCTTCTAATATCTCTGAATCCAAAGTCATAATGAAATCACAGCAAGCAGAACAAGTTTTCCCCCAGGTCTCGACTTTTCTATGTAGACCAGTTGTTGGTACTGGAATTCTGGCCTCCCTATTTGATGATGATAACTGATTGATGGTTGGGATTCCAGTTCCCAATCTGAAAGATGTCTACAGGGAGCTTGAAGGCACCCCAGTGATGGCCTAGCTTTCCAAATACTATGTATTTTTGTACAAATCCGGCCCAGCTGCCTGAACAATGGGTTTAAGTGCAATTGGGTGATTTCTGTTAGATTGGGATGGGAGAGAATTTGCAGAAGTGGGCTCAACTGGCACTCAAAAATCTGGTACCATCTGGTTTTTTGCAAAGTCCAGGCAGAATCTGAGTTGTGTCGGGTCCCCAATTTACTCTCACACATAATTCATGACTGGCTATTTCAA